AAAGAGAGGGAAAAGAAATAGAAAAAGGGAGACAGAGAGATAGAGAGAGCGAGAGAGCGAGAGAGCGAGAGAGTGAGAGAGCGAGAGAGCATCTCCGGGTCACTGCCGTTCCCAAGATATTGGGCGCATACGGCGGTGCCGGTTGGTAGACTCGGGGCGGTCAGCATCAGCATCGCATGTGCTGTGTGGACAGGATCCATATATGTACATCTGCTGTACAGTCCATGTACTACGTACTCTCCTCTCCGTATGTACATTTACTGTAAGTGCAGTATCTACCAGGATGATAAGGATATGTATGGGACACGGACACGGAAGCGCTCAATGTCTGAGACGCTACTACTGTACTTACTGCACGACTACTCCGAGCCGTAGGGAGACCAACTCAACCTGGACCTCGACCTCGACCACGACCAGGCCTGGAAGTGGAAAGAAAATACGGAGAAGTAGTGCTACTACTTGGACACATCACGGAACAACCTAAATCAGCCTAAGCCGGGAGCAATGACTGTCAGCGGCAACTCAAATTCTCATCTCATCTCAACTCAGCTCAACTCTGCTCTCGGGCTCCCGTCCTTGGACTTAAACCTAATAAACCTGGGGGCAGGGCAGGGCAAGTAAGGGCTTCGGCAAGGCAAGGCTTGGTTTGGATTTGCAAGGCAAGGCAAGGCAAGGAGACGATCAGAAGGGCCCTCAGAAGAGAGCGCGACTCGAATTTCTGGAAGCTTGTACTTGATCCTCCTCCACGTGCCTCCGATCTCACACGATCTCTATCCGTATTTATCCTTATGACAGGTCTCTTTCTCGAGATTGCTGAAGAATCTTCCGAAGAATATGCTTAGCAAACACGAAACAACATGACGAGATGTGATGAAAAAGACAGTAACAAGCAAGCAATCGAAGCAAGCAAGCGAGCAAGCAAAGCAAAGCAAAGTCAAAGTACTGACCTTTTCCGCCCTTGCCTGCCTGCCTGCCTCGGCCTCGGCCTCGGCCTCGGCCTCGGCATCGGCATCGGCATCGGGGAGCACAACCGCTCCTCCTCTGGCCCCCCCTACGGAAAACGGAACGCTCCCCTCTTCCCCGAACCAATCTCTGACATCCATCCTCTGTTGATGATCCATCCCCATCCCATCTATCGCCACCATCTCCAAGGACACAAGAAAACACTCCACTTGAAAAGCACGAAAGAAAAGAAAAGAAGAAAAGAAAAGAAGAAAAGAAAAGAAACGAAAAGAAAAAAAGAAAAGAGAAAAAAAAAACAGAAAAAAGGAAAAGAGAGAAAAAAGGACCCCGAGTCTCACACAAACCAAACCAGCAGGACATCAAAAGTCAGTACGGGTACCATATTGATCCGAGCAGTGATCGCCACTACCGACCGTACGCATCACCCGAACGTTGGTGTGGACAGGACAAGACTGGGCTGGGCGCTACTTAAGTAATCTGAAGCTACGTAACCTACCCGGTCGGAAAGACTAGTAGCGCCAAAGCCGATGGCGATTTCTATTACAGTACCTATTACGGTACCGGTATTTCCATGACCTTACTGTATATTCCCGTCTCGACCCTTCCTGACTGGACTACGGATGGACTACGGAGTAGAGCGGCGGGACGTACTAGCGGCGTCAACAAAAGAACCGCATCACCACCCATCACCACCACCACCACCACCACCACCACCACCACCACCACCACCACCTCCACCACTACCACCACCATCACCACCACCACCATACAACCACAACAAGCCGCAAATTCAAAACATGAGCAGCGGGAGAGACACCATCGTGACGGACGCTTGACTCGAGGATATGCAGAACGTGCGCGGCCTTGCCGTTTCCTCCCATGCGGCGGCCCGGGGATCTCCATCCCGTCCAACCCAATCCAATCCAATCCAATCCAATCAATCCAAGCCAATATCCAATCCTCAATGCAATCCCACCTCGAGGCTGTTGCAGCTCACAGCACATCCCCAACGCAATAATTTCAAGTCAGACGATACCAAAAGAAGAAAGAAGAAGACGAAGAAAAGCACAGAAAGGCAAGAAGATGAAGACGAAGAAAAGCAAAGAAAGGCAAGAAGAAGGAGAAGAAAAAAAGCAAAGAAAGGCACCTACTTCTGCTTCCCCGGGCAAAAAACAAAAAACAAAAAAGAAGAAAAGAAAAGTAAACACCCGTCCCCCCGTCCCCCTCCCCCTACGCACAGGTCTCGAAGAGGAGCGAGCCTTGCATTCGGCAAAAAGGCACCCCAGCCTCCACTGCGGGGCGGCCGCCCCCAAAGCCTAATACTGCGATTCGGAGTGCTGCTGCGCCAAAACATTCCGTTTTTCTTCCTCTTCTTCTTCTCTCCTTTTCTTCAAATGTCTGGAGGGTCCTTTTTTAAATTCCTTTTTCGAATGGTCCGCGGTCTCAGACCGAACTCGGGAAGCGAAGCGATCACACCCCCATGGTGGCCACCGCCGCCACCGCCGCCACTGTGCCAATGCTCTGTACAGCGCCGCCGTGTCACCTGGAGCGGCAGCGGTAAGTTCGACGCCGATGACGGTGACATAATTTCTTTCTTGCCTTTATGCCTTCATGCGTTCGTTGCTTCCGTCCCGTTTCCGAGCGCGGGGTTTGAAAAAGTCAAGTCAAGGAAAGGAACTATTCATCCTGTCTCGCGATGCCTCGTCTGCTTGCTGCCCCATCCCGTCCGTGAACACATGCTACGGTCCAAGGGAGAGGAGACCGGTTCTGTCGGTGGGTACCACGTTCTAGACCTTCTTGCTCTGCACATCTTAGCCTGATCTTCCGGGATCTACCTCTGATCATTGCTTCGACTTCCGCCTTTTCGTCAAGGGAGGCCTCACATTATCTGACTGAGTTGCACTGTTTTGTATTTTGTTCTACTCGGAGGAATCTGAGAGCCAGGCCTGATCTGGATTCTGAAAAGGGTTGTGGCGGATTGATTTGTCTTTCGTAGTGGGGTATGTGCGTTTTCTTTCTGGTGAAGAAGCCGTGGGGGTGGGGGGGAAGCGAAAGTAAACAACACATGTTATTGACGCAATATGCAACAGCCCAGCCGATGACGAAGCTGGGTTGAAGTGAGCTGAGCTGCTTCCCCGGAAGCTAGTAGTACTTGCTGTATTTCCTAGCCGAACTCAGACCCCAGGATCGAGTAAAGCGCGAGTTGATGCTTTACGGTATCCCAGCTGACTGCGAAGCCTCTAACTACCTCGGTACAGGCATAAGTACTACGTACTACGTAGTACGTACGTAGTATTACCCCTCGAGGGTGCGTCAAAGGTTTAGTTCCCACTATAAACCCCTGATGACCCTATCCTTAAGGGGGATACTTACGTCTGGGACGTAGTAGTAGTAACTACTGAATCCCCGATGGCGCAAAGTATTGCATTTCTGTTTCTATTCTCTCCTGTACATCTCTTCCTCTACGTCCTCTTTATCAGAAGAGATCCCTCGCCTCTTTTCTTCTGCTCCCTCCTCTCCATCAAGAAGATCTCTCTCCTCTCCCCTCGACTAAAAAGGTCTGACTCTCTCCCCAAAAACCCAAGTTCTACCTACCTACCTCCACAGCTACACCTCTCGCCTCCCATCCATCTATCCAACCCAGCCAGCCCAACCCAATCCAATCAAATCAGTAATCACAAACTACCCAGTACCACCACCACCACCACCATCATCATCACTACTTACGACCACCACCTCCACCCCAGCCTGCATGCCGCAAGCCGCAATATCAGCATCCCTCCCTCCCTTCCCCGGTAGATAAATCCAGATCTAAAGTACCCCTCGCTGCTTTCCTTTCTATTTCTTTTCCTTTTTTTTTTTTCTCTCTTCCTTTTCCTTTTTTCTTTCCTTCAACTAAATATAAACTAAACTAGATTAAACTAAATTAAACTAGACTTGAAGTAAACTTGAGGTAAAGTAAAGTAGACTGAAGTAAACTTCAGGTAAACTAAACTAAACTAAACTAAACTAAACTAAACTAAACTAAACTAAATTAAACTAGGCTAAACTAAACCAAATTAAACTAAACTAAATCAAA